ATACCTTTCCAGTTATTCAGTTTTTTTAGTTTAAATTTAAGACATTTGATTATCCTACCTCGTAGATCACAAACACAAGTCAGGTTTAGTGCTGGTAGTTCAAACTTACAAAATAAAATCGTTGATTTCGTACGTTTGTTCGTAAAGTACAAATCATCAAAACCAGACCTCCAACCTCAATTGATGACAAATTTCCCAAAGAGATCTAGATTAAATCAAATCATGCCTCTACCTCACTATCAGACTCTCTCTCTCTCTCTCTCTCTCTCTCTCTCTCTCTCTCTCTCTCTCTCTCTCTAAACCGATTTTATGTGTTTACTTCATGTAATTTTTGGAAGTAATTTATGCTGACGGTTAATTGTCCTCATTATATCCAACATTACCCAGATCTGGCACACGTTGTTTAAATATAAGTTGGGGGTATTTATTTTTGCTTGGTTGGTTGTAAAGCAATTTGAAAAAGCAACTTACACTTCAACTAGTCTATTTTTTGTGCAGTAACATATTAAAATGAAATTCGCTCGTTTTGTAATCAACGTAGGCGTTTAAATCCCGCGTGTGGGTGCTTTTATTTTTATTTAATACTTTTAAATTCTGGAAATTCCTTCCGAGATAAAGGATAAGCGGAGAGTTGGATTGAAAAGTTAATGGGGAAGCGGGCAGCATAAATATTCAGGGCCTTCACGAGATCCCGTGGTCTGCGGTCTCAGAAGGGTGGGTCGAAGAGGTAATGGGGTTTTGTAAACCCTTCTCACGGTCCAAGGAGCAAAGCCACCCCTTCTCCAAAGTAAATAAAGGAACACCAGTAATTTGCAAATATTTCTGAATTAATATTTGCCATTATGCATAATTGAACGTCCTCCAGATTGTGCATGTAAATTACTAAATCAAATCTACACCATATATTCTCCAATTGTAGAATTGTATTGACATTCTTATTCTTATATTCTAAAATGTGACTTTTTTGGCCTGGCGGTACTGCATTTCGATGGTTGTTTACGAATTATTTATTTACGAATAACTCCCAGACCTGCAGCATGCAAAGATTGTTGAATAACATCGTTCACAAGGTTCGCCCCTCTTTTTCCGGTAATGGGTCTACAGCCCATGAAAATGCTTATTTCATCTGATCCAGAGGAAATGACAAATTTATAGAACATTTTCTCGCCTGTAATAAGATTTTTGCGATTTGCGCAGGTCGACAAAATTGTGCTCGCTATCAGTATTCCTCAGAGATACCTTCCCTCGTCCCTCCCACAAAGATAACACCATCAAATCTCCCTGTTCGCTTGGGACCAGAGTTATTAGAGAAATAAAGGGGCGTCGGAATCCTGTGGATCAAATCAAATTGCTCTCGGAATATATGGTCTAAGAGCAATTGCCAGAAAACGTTTGCTAACAGGACGTGATCCATTAGGGGGTGCTTTAAAAATGGAAATAAACTACCAAGAGAATAGTGTTATAGAATGCATTTATTATTGCAATAAATAATAAAATAAATTATTCAGAAATCGTGAGATGCGGTCTGGTGTGATGCAGGTTTCAGAAAAACATTTTCTTTATCGTGCCAACGTTTCGATCTTTATTGAGATCATCTTCAGGGCCTTGTGCTGTCTGCATTTCAGCAAAAAAGTTCTCTGGTTGATAGCCGATGCGAGTTTTTTCTCATTGTTCGCGATGTCCTTCAGAGTACTTTTAGCAGCGTGTCCATATGTAGTTGAAATTTGTTCATAGAATCCCATGTTCTTCTCGTGTGGAAATATATTAGTTTTTCTGAAACCTACATCACATCAGACCGCATATCACGATTTCTGAATAATTATCGATTAACGGTCACTAATCACCACATATAATAAAATAATTGAATATAAGATTAAAACCGAATTTTTAACATCTACCTTGCTCTCAATCATATTTGGGTCTGTCATAAGCACTTTGCAGTTTCAGAACAAAATATTACAAATAACACACAGATAGACCAACTGATGAAAGGTTTGTCAATACAGTATGATGGGGCACCATCAAACCTCTGTACTTTTTTGTTTAGTCCTATGTCTAATTCTTCGTTCAAATTTAAATTATAGGTGAGAGTGAACTGATAGTTCGCATTAACTCGCATCGGCCGTGTAGAAAAATGGATGTCAACGAAGAAGACCATTCTCATACTAAACAAAACACAAAGTATATTCATACTCCATTATATTTCTTGATCCGATTAACAAAATAACTTCTTTCAGTTAATTAATCTTTTTGTAAGCTATTGGTTGAAATGAAAAAGTTAGCGTAAGGAGCGGGATTCGAACCCACGATCCTCGGCTAAATACGCCGCTGCTCTACCACTTGAGCTATTGTGATTTCGATCCACTCGGACACCAGCATCCCATCTCAACCTGCTTTCGAATTTACTCCAGGGCACTCTCAACACGACACCCAATTATGGCACATCTACACAGAAAACTAACACTTTGAGCCCTGAAGATGATCTCAATAAAGATCGAAACGTAGGCACGATAAAGAAAATGTTTTTCTAAAACCTACGTCACACCAGAGCGCATCTCACGATCTCCAAATAATCATTGGCTAACGGTCACTAAACATCACACATTTCTACACGAGAAAAACGAAGAACATGGGATGAACAGGGGCCTGAACATCTATGAACAAATTTCAACTATATACGGACACCAAGCAAAGATTATTCTGAAGGACATCACCAACAATGAAAAGAAACTTGCATCGGCTAGTTCATCAGAGAACATTTTGTTGAAATTCAGGCAATACTGCCTACCTCTTCCGTTCTAAGCTTGTCCGTCGTCAGTGTGGCGCACCCCATCTTTCCCTAACCTTTTATTCATGTTGATGGTGTATATTTGTTGTGGTGGGGGGGGCGTGTACAAAAATTGCAAGGGCAACCGAACCGAAACGGGGTGGGTCTACGAACCGTTCGGTTATAGCGGTATTTTCAATTATAAAATGAGTAAAAGTAAACTACAACTAAGTAAATACATAAGTAAATAAACAATTCAAAATTCTGTATAATTTCTTTTATCTTTGTAGTTGATCAGGATGTACATTATTTGGTAATTTGGTCGTTACTTACAATTTTGGTCTGCCTATTCTCGCTGTGTGGGCCTTCAGACGCGTTTCGGCATTTTTCCATCCTTCAGGAGTTTATGAATCGCGACTGACATACAAACACAGCGAGTATAGGCAGACTAGCCAGGTATGAGAATAGGGTAACCCTCATATGGATACCTGCTCATAAGGGGCACTATGGCAATGAGGAGGCGGACAGCCTGGCCAAGGAAGGATCAAATACTGAGTTCGTCGGACCACAACCGGTATTACCCCACTCTTTAAGCACAGCAAAAGAGAGTATAGGTAGCTGGGGCATGAAACAATTCCTTAAGGAATGGAATATGTCCCCCGGATGCAGGCAATCGAAGGAGTTTCTGAAAGAAATCAAACCTAAAGAAACGAAATGGCTACTCTCTAACTCTAGGAGGGGAATAAGGAGGCTGATAGGTATCCTAACGGGCCACTGCCCCCTGAGAAGACACCTCTTCATAATGGGTACTCTACCAGACCCCTTCTGCCGCTTCTGCGAAACTAAAGAAGAAACGGCTCGACACTACCTCGCAGAATGCGATAGGTATGCTAGGGAAAGATTTAATACTTTCGAAGGAGAGGACATAACCAAAACACTCCCCAGGATAAAATGGTCCACAATCCTGGGGTTTGTGAATAGGTCCAAAAGGTTTATGCAGGACTCGTGAGCCGACCAGGTCCCGGACCTTTTAGTGATGGGGTACGGGCCTACTCAGGCTTTTAACCCCTCGGGTCCTGGTCGTCCGCCCTGTGTAATATATATATATAGGCAGACTAGGAAGACCGGCAAGTACCAAATTACAGTGTTATCATCTCGCAGACCACAGAAGAAATGTTCCAATGCATCCTAATTATTAAAAAATAAAAAAGAACAACTAAGAATGAAAATGGACCCACCATTCGTACACGAACATTAAGCCTAGTACGCACTGAGATTCTTAGAATCGATTCATGTTGCGGGACAGAGTCGGGGCTGCGTAGATTCATTGTTGCGATGCAGCCCCGACTCTGCTCCGCGACAAAGAACCGCGTCCAGACCACGATCCAGTTCTCATTCATCAGTGCCTCCGAAAATGACGGGGGAACTAGGTCTTAGGAATATCCCTTGCTCGTTTTTGCATTGAACGTAGTGCATCCAATCGGAAGTGCATTAAAATACTGTCTTTTAAAGTGTGCATTTTTTTCAACTTCGGAAACACTGAATTTTTGGGTAAACCGTTCAATGTTTGGCTTTTCAATTCCCGATTTCTGTATTCCGTGAATGATACATCCCACAAACACCGATGGGAATGCATGTCTTCAATAAACGTCAACTCGGTACTCACAACATACCTTTATAAAAGACAGTGTACAAATCTTCAAGAAAACACTCACTAGAACGTCAACTAAACAAAATAAGCAAGAGCGCTTCTTCCGATTCTCGTCCGCACTGGCAAATGTTGCGCAACATTGAGTCAAAGAACCCGCATATCGGACGGGTTCAAAAGAGTCCGAAAACGCTAGACCGCAGCACACCAGATTCATCGCAACAATGAATCGGGGCAGCCCGGACTCAGGCGGGACGCAGCCGAGACTCTCCGGAGATTCAAAAAGTCGACTCAAAGAATCCCAGTGCGTACTAGGCCTAGTTATATTAATGGCATTTTTATATTAAATTTTTTATTATAAAGATGTTCAGGGGTAAATGACAAGTTTTTAAGTATTTATTTTCATGGATGCTTTACCCAATAAATTATTTAATATTAAATTTTTTTATATTTTCATATTTCGATGTGCTAACCAATTCTTCGAAAATTGTCTTACTAAATATCATTTTTCGTTCTGGTTTGTATATAATAACATCCCATAAAATATACATTTGTAATTCGATTGGTACCGCTGATGTATGTAACAGAATATATCAGATGTTATTTATTTGCTAAAGCGAACCCCCATTGTTATGTAGTATTGTTATTTGTTAGAGGTTTTTTTTTAGTTTTTCGGGTCAACCATGTCGAGGAAATCGATGTCGCGGAAATCGGTGTCCCGAAAATCGGTGTCACGGAAATCGGTGTCCCGGAAATCGGTATCGAGGAAGTCAGTGGCTGGTGGAAAGAAAGGTGAAAAGAGCGGAGGGAAGAAGCGAGGGGTAACCCCTCAGCAGGAGGATACGGAACCATGGAAAAAAGAGGTCGCCGATCTCGGGGTAAGTTCAGTGCAACCGGTTAGAAAGAACAGTTGCGACCGAACTTTTGATTTTAGGTTTCCGACGACATATGGAAATGCCATTTGTCGATTTTGCAAGAGAAAGATACTGCTTTGTCGGGTATCGTCGACCTGGCAGGGCAAAAGGCGCCGGTTGGTAACCGATGGCCAGTCAGGGTGATTTCGATGGACTACATAAGGGAAAAAGTACTTAACCATTGTGCCAAAACTAAAGAGGAAACAGCTTACAGGGCGCTTTGCGACGCCATTAAGGAAGCCGGTCTGTATTTTTAAGCTTCGTGCATTTTATTTATACAGATGATTCTGTCGTTTGATATGCTCTTCTATAATTGAACAGACAACTAATAAATATTAAAATAGATATCATCCATATTTTTAGTTTGACCGATTTTTAAAAAACAAACTGTTATATCATACAAAAACTATATTTCATTTCCATTTTTTTAATTGCCAAACTTTTGAATTTTTCTAGATTTCAAATATTTTTATTTAAAGTTACAAAACCGAAACAGACTTTTTCAGAGATTTGATTAACAAATTTTGTTTATTGTACAATAAACAATACTGAAAAACCAGTGTTTCTGTTCAAAATTTAAACCTTTTTTACTAAATCAACTACTACCAAGTCAGTTTAACAATAAAATAAATTGACTCATTTTTACATGTGTTGGAATATAAAATATAAATATCTTTCGGGTAAAAGTACGCGTTCCTCACTCAGAGGCAGGTTGCTTACTTTGTTCCGTATAATGGACGGGATTCTGTATAGGGGGCGAGTAGGCATGATGTTCATTACCTATGTTGAAAGTTTTGTTTTGAGACTAGTATATAATACGTTCGAATTTGGTGTGTAAAGAGAAGGATATTTAGTACCCGATCGACCCTCACTTAAGCTAGTTATGCTCTGCAGTCTGTGTGGTGTGATGGAGGATTATCGATCTCTCCCCCAGCCTTGAATAAATGTTGTTTACATCGGAATAAACGCATTTAATTAACTAGAAAAATAGTAATATAATTTGATAAATGGTCCACATATAGACAACAGTAATAATGTCAAAAATACTAACTTTCTATGGTACTACAATTAATTAAGGTTTTTAGTTGAAATAAAAAAGCCAATGGCACGAGCGGGATTCGAACCCACGATCTTCGGCTAGATACGACGCTGCTCTAACCTCTTGAGATATCGTGACCTCGATCCACTCGGACACCAACTTCCCATCTCAACCCCATCTTTTGAATTTTCTCTCCTTTTTGCCATTTTTCAAATGTCGTGTAATCGGATTGGATTCTCGACAACAAATGAAATGGCCACGGAGAGCTTTAGTGAAGTATACTTCATTTTAAACTTATTAAATTCGTGGTTTTTCTAGTTTCGTGGTCCGCTTGACCAATTAATATCTTACAATTAATTAAGGTTTTCAGTTGAGATAAAAGTTGCGTATCAAGCCGAAGATGGTGGGTTCGAATCCCGCTCGTGCCATTGACTTTTTTATCTCAACTGAAAACCTTAATTAATTGTAATTTGAACAATGTTTATAAATCCCAGGCCCTGAAGAGGATCTCAATAAAGATCGAAACGTGGCACAATAAAGAAAATGTTTTTCTGAAACCTACACCAGACCGCATCTCACGATTTCCGAATAAATCTTGTCGAAAATAAAAACTGAATGAAAGGGGCAGGTCAGGTGATAGGAAAGATGTTCAAGCATTTCACAGCAAACCTCATTTAACTGGTTGTTAATTGGATAGAAGCTTTGTGCTGACCATTTTTTGATCAAATGTAAAATATATGGGCCAATTTCTTCCGGTAATCCAAGTTGATCCGGTAAAAAGTATAAATAAACGAATCTAACCCCACTCTGTCAAAAAAGCACTATTAATTTGTTTTGATTCTGTTTTATCATGCGACCAGGATGCTTATCTCATCACTGACTTCATCGGCGTAGGTCGTGGTTAGTTTACCTTCTGTTCTCCTTATATCTTTTCTATTGAGGCGTTTTTGTGCAAAACCCCGAGACATGAATTTTTTTATTTTTTGTCTATTTTCTCATGAATCAAAACATTTTGTCCTAATTCTACAGGAAACGGGATACGGACGAGAAATTAACTATTTCAAATTGCATGATTCTCATCGATGTACTTTTTTGAAAGGGTTGTGTTGTTGAGTTCAAATTTACAAACGGTTTTTAATTTACAGCCGCCATTCTCAAGTAATTCGCATAATATCTTTCCGAACATTGTTTTTTGGAAAACTGAAATCTCTAAATTCTTCAATCAAAAAAGAATTTATTTGTTTATCATTTAAGTGAATTACTTGTTTTTTGTACATGTAACAAAAACGGAATGACAGCATTTTAGTTGATTCGTGATAAATGAGATTCGCTAGATTACGTATCATAAGTGCTGAATTGCACTATTTTCAATAACTTAAATCCAGAAAAATCTTATAGTATAAGAAATTGCTTGCCATTTATTTACGATCCAAGAACCTTTCATGAGCAAAATAAAACGATAACTTCACTAGTTTTCGTGGTCCACTTGTCCAATTAATATATTTCAATTAATTAAGGTTTTTAGTTGAGATGAAAAAGTCAGTGTCACGAGCGCGATTCGAACCCACAATCTTCGGCTAGATACGCCGCTGCTCTACCACTTGAGCTAACTAATTAGACCTCGATCCCCTCGGACACTAACTTCCCATCTCAACCCCAAGATTACACGACATTTGAAAAATGACAAAAAAGGAGGGAAAATTCAAAAGGTGGGGTTGAGATGAGATGGGAAGTGTCCGAGTGGATCGAGGTCACGATAGCTCAAGTGGTAGAGCAGCGGCGTATCTAGCCAAAGATCGTGGGTTCGAATCCCGCTCGTGCCATTGACTTTTTTATCTGAACTGAAAACCTTAATTGTAATATATTAATTGGTCAAGCGGACCAAGAAATTAGTGAATTTCTATGTTACGTTCGAGAAAGTAGGAATTATATAAAAAATATCACTAATTAGAGGTGAATGTGATAAATAGACAAGAAATAGACAACGTAGCAATGTCAAAAATACTAACTTTCAATGGTACGTTCGAGAAAATAGGAATTATATAAACAATATCACCAATTAGAGATGAATTAAGAATAATTGGCAAGACTGAAGTCTTTTTTTTAGAGGTGAAAATGTTTTTTTTTTTTTTTCAAAAATAACAACATTAAATTGTAATAATAGCGAATAAATATTTATAGACTATTCTTAGTATAAACTTCATATTAAATGTATTTATTGTCCATTATTTTTACAATGTTTTAAATTCTACAATACATTGACATATTTATATTTTATTTTTTAATTTATTATTTTAGTTTGGTCTATGCTAGATGACATATGCTAGGTCATTGCATGGAGTTGTTTGGCTAATGTATGTAATGTGTAATAAATGTTTATTAATTTTTGTCATATTGTTAATAAAAAATTTAATTAAACATTATACTGAACTATCTATTTCGTTAAATGTTTAAACTAATACAGGATTTAGAATTTATTTTATAGTATACTTTAATTTTACTATTACGTGTGTGTGTGTGTGTGTGTGTGCGTGCGCGCGCGCGCGTGTGTATGTGTGTGTGTGTGTGTGTGTGTGTGTGTGTGTGTGTAAGTAGTTAAGCATTTGAATGAATTAAATCAAATTGAAATAGTTTATAATTGATTTATCTTATCTTTTATTGATTGTTTTTCTATTGACACTTACATTTACGTTTTAATGTCAGACAGGTTGGAGAATAGTTTATTTAATAATATGGTTTCTCAGTAATTTGGTGAATTTTGACTAATATATAATTTATCATGTTAATTTGATTCTATTTACCACACATTTGTTGTGGTGTAATTTACCTATTTTTTTGTATAATATAACCATAGATTAATCCATATTTGTTTAGTGGTGATATAATTATTCCAATTAATTATTCTTTTCTTCCAAGGTTTTTGGTTGACATGAAAAATTAGTGTCACAAGTGTGATTACTCTAATTTTTCATCTCAGCCAAAAACCTTAGATGAAACAAATAATTAATTGGAACCATACATAGTATTTGTTATATGTTTCCTCAAATAATAATTTTCATGTATATCTGAATTTTTTTACATAACATTTTCAGGCATCTTTTCTGTATTTAAACTGGTTCATTAAAATGTATTTCCCCCCCCCCCAACTGTAATTCCAAATTGCATTACTGATTGGAAAAGGGTTGTATTGATTTTTAGTATTAATTGGGAACCCTTTCATATGGTTTATCATATACATGCAGTTCCTTAGTTTATCACGTAAATATTCGATTCCATGTGATTGTCTATGATTATCACAAGTTATTTAACCTTAACTAATTTTTTAATTGGTTCGCAACAATTGCTGTCAATTTCCTCACTCTGATGTAGTGTCTGTAGAAGTTACATGCTGTCGAGTCTTGGCTAATTATGCACTTAATAAAAGTATGAATGAGCATTTATTAAACATATATATTATATATAGATTTTTTTTAGCTGGAAGAAATTTCGATCAAGATATCCCTGTCGAACTACTGGCTTATTTTATCAAGTACGAAATACTCGAGTTTCGAGAAATCGACATAGACAGAAAAATTGAGAAAGAAAGGATGGAACGAGATCTGACGGAAGCATATTTGAAACTGGATTTGGCCGCTGGAAGGCGGGCAAGGGACGAAAAACCGAAGAAAGGAATTGCGTCCCAGGGGAGTGTTAAAGGCGGGCCTGGAAGGAGGGCGAGCGCGAAAGGAGGCCCGGGAAGAAGAGCGAGCGCCAAACGAGGAAGCACAAAGAGGCAAAGCACGAAGAGGCAAAGCACAAAGAGACAAAGCACGAAGAGACAAAGTACGAAGAGGCAAAGCACGAAGAGACAGAGCACACGAAGACAGAGTAAAAAGGGCGGCGGTCGAAAAAGTGTGGCCGGTGGCGGCGGTCGAAAAAGTGTGGCCGGTGGTGGTGGTGGTCGTCGTAAAAGTGCCGCCGGTGGAAGAGGATCTCAACAAAGCATTGGGGGACACCCCGGACTGAAAAGGACCAAGAGCCACTCATTGCTCAACAATTGGAAAAAGAAGCGGTCAAATCTTAAATTCGATACCAGACTGAACACGAGAGAAATGCCTCGGAAAGATATCCGGTACGTTGAAGATTTTCCCGTGGGCGGCCCACAGGCGTATTTTATCATAACGCAACTGCGACATCCGTCTTTGCCGAAAACTCTGAGGAGCATCGATATACCGGTGGATTCGGTGATAATGTACGGCGATCCGAGGATAACTCGGGATGACGAAAACGTGCCTCCGAAGAACATAGAAGAGTACAAGGAACTATTGGACATGCTAGAAAGAGATTATATGTTCAAAAAGAGCGATAAACGCCAGTTTTTCGATTTCTTGAAGGAAAAGTACTCAGAGCAAGGAAAATTACAAAAATTTTGGAAAGATTTTATGGAACAGGCTTTGTCTCAAGAAAACCGGAAGATATTCGAAAACACGATTATTACAAAATACAGTCCTGACTTGAAAACCGTCCCGCTCAAATCGGAAACGAGAAAAGAAGAGATGAAAAATATATTCTACGAGGAGATGTGCATGCTCATGTATTTCATGGGGAGAATTTCTGAATTGTATGAAAGGTACAACGCGTCGGTTAAATTGTTCAACGTGGAAGCGAAAAAGGTAACGACTCCAGAAGACATGACCGTTTATACGGGCCTGTTGAACTCCCTGCCGAACGAACTCTGTGACGTCCCCATTGTACTGGATACGCTGATCCAGCAGGTCTGTATTAACGAAGGAGTGGATACGATGGTAGACACAACGAAATACGGTTGTTCGCTCGGGACGAAGGAAAAGCCCGTTTGGGAAAATTTTCTAGAGGCGCAGATACAAGACCTAGAATTGAAATACGACCTCAAGATAGAAGACGAACGGAAAAAGAAAAAGATCATCGAATACCCGAGAACTATATTAGCCGGAGATGTGATCAAATGGAAGACGTTGTGCAAGGGCAATTTGGGAAGGTACGTTCGCGATAGGACGTACTTGATGCAAAAAATATTTTTGAGCAGGGCAGCGTGGGGCAAACTGGACATCGACCATACAGCGAGCTCAGCTCACACAATTCACATGCAAAGACTTAGAAACGCTTTAGGAATCAGGCATAAAAAAGAAGTGGCAGAGTGGCTAGTGACTCTCGGTCACCTGTGCGCCATGGATAATCCACAAATGTGGAAAAACGACAATTTCGTCTTTTTCCAAGAGGGGCCTGTTTACACTATGGTCCAAGACCACGAGTTGACGAGTATGAAGACACTTATAGGTTCATTGTCCTGTTCCATAAGTTGCTGCACCTGCATGGAAAAAGTCTGCGACGAAAAGGTTCAACCCAAGTTGCTGTCCGAACTCGACTATTTGAACAACATCAAAGACCTACCCGATTATGTGATGTATCAGACCTTGTATCAGTTATATTCTGAAAAGGACGTTGTCAAAATGGAGTTTAACCAATTGTTGAAATCTATAATATTTCAATTTTATAACTGTTTCAGTACGTTTAACGTCCATTGCAGAATCGAAACGCCTGTCAATTTAAAAAACTTTTATCAACACATTTTAACCGAGAAGAAGCATTGGTGTCTGAAAGAGTTGAGCGACATCGCGGACATGGATCCCCCGAGGTTTTTCAAGCCTAGGATGGACCTACTTATCGCCAACCTAGACTCAATAACGTCTCCAGTCGAGGTAAGCGAACAGTTGTCACTGACGTTCAAAGATTTCGTAGATCCGCATAGTATGAGAGAGGATGAACTGCGAAGAGATGAGGAAGAGAAGGTTAAGAGAGACAAACAATTGGAAAAAGAGAGAATACTTGCAGAAAAAGAAGAAAAGAAATTACACGGGAAGAAAGGTGAGAAAAAACCGGAAGAGACGAAATTGCCTCAGGATCCAATAGCCGCTGCTATATCGCAAGTTCAGAAACCTATCATCGGTTATGTCTACGGCCTGAGCGAAGAGCAATTGTCCGTTTTTCACGAGAGGAGAAAAAATTTCGTCCTACGAGGCGGATCGCGACTCAATTTAAAATTCGACGAGTCGATTTTCGGACGACCTCTTCTAATGCTAAAACTACTACAGAACGGTCACGATTTAATCTTTCACACTCCTTTATACCAGAACGACATTTTAACTAATTTTACTTTTCATCATGAAAACGGTATGATAATGAGCTTTTCAGAGAGGGTTCCTATAAACGACGAACAGATGCCCATGATTAGACAGAAGTCTTTCGCTGTAAAAAAAAATGCTTCTAAAACATCCCAGACCCAAAGGCTCTCGAAAATGTCCAAAACTTCCGTTTCGAAAAAAAAGAAAAAAGGTTCATTCAATACGTTACTGTTGTCGTTAAAAGTTACTGAAAAAGAAGATCCGGACAAGATTAAATTCAGTCGTCTGGAAAAGCAGCGTTTGTTTAAAATGTTTGAGGAAAAAATTCAAAATTTCAAGGATAAAGTGTTTTTCAAGAAGATGAAATACAAATCTCTGGATAGAAAGTACGAATACTGCGACTGCATAATGACTCTTTTAAAAAGTAGGCTGTACCATCTACCCAGGCCATTTAGCTATCATAAAGCAGGGTGTGTATTCAGGAAAGAAAATCTGGAAAAATCGCCGGCGAGTAAATTCGTTTCGGAGCCGTTTAACGATCCAGAATTGTTAGATGGAGGAAATAAGGACCAACTCGCAGAGCTCGATTTGCAGATATCCTGGCCGACCGGCTTGCACATCAGTGTCTTGAGGCAGCCGAGAATCGGTGGCATCTACGTGAAACAAGTCTACTTGACGGAGAGAAAAGACTTACCTTTGATCTCAGACGAAAAGTTCCGGTACATCCTCTTTAACGGCACTGTTTTGAAGTTTATGAAATCAGATGAAATACAGATTTATTATCCTTGGGGGGCTATCGTTTACGTACAGGAGGCCAGCTTGAAAGATGGGGAGGTCATCGAAACGGACGACATGACAGAAATCGTTTTGCCGAGGGAAGTGATTTTCCCACTTTATAATACATTAACGTCGGACAGCAGAAAAGTCGAAAACTATTTCGGATATCTAAGCAAATCCCCAGTTGAATACATGGAAGAGATAGACGATTTGTTTTGTAATACAAGATCCTTAGAAAGGTCAGACGGAACGAAATTTTTGTACCATGAAGACGGCACGTCCGTAGTCAGGTTCCCCGACGGTACCGAAATTCGGAATTCTTGTGGATTTAAAGCGTACGAATATTTTGTCGAATACACCCCCGAAGAAATGGAAGCGTGGTTTTTTCTAGAGCTGGAGGAAGAGGAACTCGCAGAAGAACAAGAAGTGATGTTGACCCCTTCGGAGATAGCGGAAGAGGAAGAACTCCCGAGAAAAATATTGTATTCCAAAGACGGTTTCGTCATTGTTGAAATTTGGTCTTACTCCGTTTTTCATCCGTATTTCGCCGGCGTATCTTCTGGATGTATGGAAAAGAACTTGCTCGATCTATACCTACCCGGTGACACAACCGTGCACATATCCGATAAAAGCCTGTACAAAATACTTATCGGGAAAAAAAAAGATTTTCGTTTTAAAGTGGGTGCCTCTAAACTGATACTCGATTCGCTCAAAAACGGCCGGCTGTATCAAAGATCCGTACTCAATTACTTTCTTTTGCGCAATAAAATTGATCCCAATAGTCCGAAAACATTGTTTTCGACGAGAACCGACGATTTCACAGATTTGAAGATTAATAATAAAGGAGAAATACAGTTCAGAATATTACCCGAGCGTGACGACTCTTACAACCTGTCCAAAGCCACAGTCGATAAAAGGCAGTTCATACTTAAACAGGACAATTCCGGTGTAGAAATATTGTCTACAACACATGTTAAGAATTTGATGGAACAGGTGGAAAAAATACCGGGCTCCAAAGTGGATAGATTTAGGCCCGCCAAGTTGACTCATACTGTAATGTTCAATCCCATAGACACAGTAGCAGAATATTGGTTAATGAGATACCCCCCGGTAAAGACTCGTAACAGGTACGTGATACCGAGCACGTATGGCAAATCGTATCTTTACCCTATACGACTGGAGAAGAATACAGTAAATGAATCAAACATGCTCTTAATGAATTTATTTAAAACGATCGAATTTGTCGACAAGGAAAACACCTTCCTCGATGTTGTGGCTAAGTACAAGGAACTGGTACTTCTCAACGAAGACGGTCCCAGCTGTGATTGCTCCGTACAAGTCATAGCTGACAACGTTGTAGGGCGAGAAGATTCGACACTTTGCAGATACCTCGCCCAAAGGAAGTACCGGCACAGTACAACGACGGGTAAGGCCTTCAACCGATTCGTCCGCAAAAAGCTCGTCCCGCAGATTATGAGAATGGCGACGAAGAAGTTCAACGTGACTCGAAATTTGAAGACAATGCGTTTCCACTTGCACCACCTCTACGAACGCTCGTCTCCTGTTTATTTCGAGAGCGCAAAGGGCGCTATCTTCCTCATTCTTGAGCAGATAGTCCATTCGGCGGAGGATATCATATTCGACATTCACAGATGCGAGAAAATGGAAGAATTGATCGAGAAGCCCATGGAAGAGCTTACAGACGACATGATTCTCGATCTGTCGAAATGTATAAAGCCTCTCGAAATGGGACTCGGAGAAATCACGAGGCAAGAAGTATTCAATGTACTGATGTCAGCGAGGGAGCTGAAAGAATACTTTTCCACCATGCACGAAGCTCTCGATTATCGCCGTTACGCTATAACGACTGAAAGAGACGATTTCGGCGAGCTCAATTGCAAGAAGCTGGAGGAGATCAAAAAAGTCCCTCAGCGAAAGTACAGACTCCCTACTCTGCCGAGGCCTTCCGAGATCGGAGGGTCCAAGATCAAGATCCCGCACGAATGGCCTTCCCTACTCATCGTCGACAAAAACGTGGGCAATTCACTGTTCCAGTTCTTCGCACAGTTTCTGAAGAGAGACAGGTCCCATTCCAGATCTAGAAGCCCGGACGGGGGTTCGACGACTTCTCCGGCGCTGGCCCTGGCGAAGGGGCCGGATCAGATGTCCATCCCCGGCTTCGGAGATGCGAAACGCTGCGAGTGGGTTAACACGCAGTTATTGAAAAAAATCGACAAACAGGAACTGGAAGGGTACGTGCACAGTTTCTGCGGAAAAGCGTTGGTGAAATCGCCCGCACTTCACCATCTGCTGCTCAAAACAAAAAAGAAAAAGATCGCGGACACTAAAAACGACACAATGGGCCTGTTTTGATTTCGTCAACGTCAAATTCATTAAGACAATTTGGTCAATTTCTCCGTTAAAAAAATTAAGCCGAAAACAACTAAAAAGGCGTGGGGTAATCTCTACAATCAAAATAAAATGCTAATGTCGATTTAAAAAAGAAAATATAATATATCCATGTGTTCTTTTTTGATGTTTGTGTTTTATTTTATAATCGTAGATTTTTACATAATTTATCAGACAGATGATAATTAATAATCTACAAACTATCTATACACAATGCTGAATCGGCTGATGCTTCCTTTTCCATTTATCTCCCAAATTATAAACAGTTGTCAAAAGTAGGCAAATAATGTTTCTTTGGTAAATCAATAATAAATAAAAACACATCTCTAAAAAAATCTATTAGTGTACGAAATTATGGCAATATAAATTGTCAATGTATTATCTCGGGTATGTTTTAAAAATTTCCAGTATCCAATAGCAATTGTAATTCTTTCAAGAACACTATCAAATACGCAAGACACCACGTTTGTGAGAGCACGTAGCCGAGGGATTCATGAAATGTTTGCAGGGTGGAAATAATAAAACATCAGGTCTCTTGTGGCCTCTAGGTCTAAATTTTTAGTATAAAACTGTAATAGGGTTTTTACGCCTTTCATCAGTCTTTCGTTTTCTGAAATCCCGGCGAGTTACTGTTCCTGTTTATCGCCTTTATATTGTTTTCCTACGTGACTCAAGCAAACAAGGGGCAAAGCTCGACAATAATGGAAATAATTTTAAGGTGAGGTCGAAACGCAATGAAAAGTCACGAGATTAAAGTAAACGAATTATAAGGTGGCCATATATGCTAAGAAACACATGTGTGCATATCGGATTATATTTTTCAATTAATTAATATTTTTATGTAAGGTTTTTGGTTGAAATGAAAAAGTTAGTATCACGAGCGGGATTCGAACCCACGATCTTCGGCTAGATACGCCGCTGCTCAAATGTCGTGTAATCTATTTGATTCTCGGCGACAAATGAAATGGCCACGGGGAGCTTTAGTGAAGCTTGACCAATTAATTAAGGTTTTTTAGTTGAAATAAAAAAGTCAAAGCAGCGAAGTCACGATAGCTCAAGTGGTAGAGCGGGTTCGAATCCCGCTCGTGACACTGACTTTTTTATCTCAACCAAGACTTACATAAAAAGAATAATTAATTGAAATAAAATCTAATGAAATGAAAAATGGCAAAAAGGAGGGAAAATTCGAAAGGTGGTAGGTTGAGATAAGTGTAAATATTGAGAAGAAATTAAGGTTTTTTAGTTGAGATCAAAAAGTCAGTGTCACGAGCGGGATTCGAACCCACGATCTTCGGCTAGATACGCCTCTGCTTTATCCCTTGAGCTATCGTGACTTCGATCCACTCGCACACCAACTCCCCATCTCAACCTACCACCTTCCAATTTTCCGTCCTTTTTGACATTTTTCATTTCATTATATTTTATTTCAATTAATTATTCTTTTTATGTAAGGTATTGGTTTAGATGAAAAAGTCGTGACTTTTCATCTCAACCAAGAGCTTACATAAAAAGAAGATGAGATTCGGTCTGGTGTGATGTAGGTTTCAGAAAAAACATTTTCTTTATCTTGCCAAGATTTCGATCTTTATTGAGATCATCTTCAGAGCCTGGGATTTACAATACATTGATTGAATATAAAAAATATTTTTTTGCATTGTATAAATTTACTTTTTTCCACATCCTACATGTATTTGTTCAATATAAACAATGTTTGTAAATCCCAGGCCCTGAAGATGATCTCAATAAAGATCGAAACGTTGGCGCGATAAAGAAAATGTCTTTTTCTGAAACCTACATCACACCAGACCGTATCTCACGATTTCCGAATAATCATCGACTAACGGTCATTAATCACCACACATAATATTTTATGTAGATCAAAGAAAAGCGAAGTACGTGTAACACTACTGCTATTTTTCGGAGTACACTTTAATATTTTGCCAAGAATGAAACAAAGTTGTACAAATATTCATAGACATTGATGACACACTCGTTATAAACAACAAAAACATTGACCGCATTCTAACTGGCCTGAGCTAAACTCACAAAAACAAATATTCACGGTAGAAGTTGTCCCTGCCGTTAACCATTACCAAAACTGACACAGAGTCAAACCAACCACGCATAAAAAATTGTACCTCTGAAGTACACGGCCGATATTAAAAGCTACACTCTGACCTAATGAAAAATACAAACAATAGAATACAGCATGCAACAACGGTTACAACGTCTAAAAATAATCAGTAAAAGCTAGTTTGGCTAACAAAGAACGTACTAAAAACAACCGACCGACCTCATACATTAAAATCACCAAATTCAAATAAAAAAAGACGTTGAATGTAAATAATATATGTATTAAATCAAGCATGCTTTGTAATAAAGAAAAACATAATAAAGTCTTTGATGCAAGAATCAACAGAAACGGTATAATTATTTATGTAATTATATTTTATGTTTTATTTTACCACGCAAAGTTACTTTTTTGCCGCTCATCGAGCTCAAGAGAGACAGTGTGAGAGAGAGAAAGAGAGAGAGAGAGAGAGAGTGTGTGTGTGAGGCAGATGAAAAGAGAAGGAGGGGAAAGAGAGAGAGTGTGATGGGAGGAGAGAGAGAGAAATGAAAGTGACTCACAATTGCAGGTATTGCTGAATGGTATAATCACTACGCCGTAAATGTTAGTTCTCTGAGAGAGTGAGTGAGGGAGAGGGAGAATGAATGAATATTGTTTTATTAAATTTAGGTCGCCAACAACCTTTGTTACAAATAATGTTAAAAAATTATAGCTGTAGAAAGAAAGAGAAAGAGAAAGACAGATAGTGAGAGAGAACGATAGATAGAGAAAGCAAGAAGTCAATGGCACGAGCGGGATTCGAACCCACGATCTTCGGCTTTATACGCCGATTTAAATGAAGTATACTTCACTAAAGCTCTCCGTGGCCATTTCGTTTGTCATCGAGAATCCAATCCGATTACACGACATTTGAAAAATGGCAAAAAGGAGGGAAAATTTAAAAGGTGCGGTTGAGATGGGAAGTTGGTGTCCGAGTGGATCGAGGTCACGATAGCTCAAGTGGTAGAGCAGCGGCGTATCAAGCCGAAGATCGTGGGTTCGAATCCCGCTCTTGCCATTGACTGTTTTATCTCATCTAAAAACCTTAATTAATTGTAATGTATTAATTGGTCAAGCGGACCACGAAATTAGTGCATTATATATATAATAACTTGTAATATAACTTGATTTGTATATATTTTTATATATTAATCAAAGTTTCACGTTTTTTTACGTTTAGTAATTGAGTCTTTGTCTAAAAAAGTTTAAAAAAATGTAAATTGCTAAGGAAATTTTTTAAAAAAATGTAAAATAAGACGGACAGCTAAAATGTGTTTTAATTTTGTTTTAGATTTTTAATTTACATTTCAATATCGCGTATTAACTCCTCTTGCCTTAATTATATCTCGAAGACGCCTCGGCATACTTTCTATCAGTCTGGAAATGACTCTTTGCTGGAGGTTAGCCCATTCTTCACGAATAGCCCTTTCAAGATCGTGAAATACATCAGGAAATGATGGACATGAAATTCGTATTTTGAGGTTATCCCATAAATGTTCGATGGGGTTCAATTCTGGAGAACGGCCAGGCTAAGACCCTGATGTTATGTTGTTGAAGGTACGTTTGTACTATGCGAGCGACATGTGGACGGGCATTATAGTGCACTAGAATTGTATTGCCGTTGATTTCGTCGAGGATAGGCAACGCATAATGTTCCGAAATTTCGTACACATAGCGAATGGCCGTCAAAGACCCTCCACGAACAATAACCAACTCTTTGCGACTCTTCATTGAAATTCCCGCTCACACCATCGCTGAGCTACGTTGAAAAGGTCGGCTCTGGGAAAAATTACAGGCTTCCTACCTTTCATTCCGCCGTCTCCACACTCTTTCACGCCCATCTGGATCGTAGAGCAAATCTACACTCGTCTGTGAAAAGTACCAGAAGACCACTCATTCAAAGATCATTGGCTGTGTTCTCGAGTAAATGGGAGCTGTGCAACCCTGTGTTGTCAATTCTGGTCCTCTTACTGGAGGAAAAGTCATCAGTCCATACTGATTTAATCTTCTTCGAGCAGTGCGTTCAGAAATTTAGACACTCGAACTTCCTGGAGCTGATGAATCGCTTGAACCGAAATTCTCAAAATCAAAAAACGGTCATCCTGTGGTTCTGTTACCCTAGGGCGTCCAGAACCGGGCCTTCTATGGTTGGACCCAGTTTCTCGAAAACGTGAAAAGTGATCCGGTTGGAGGTCAATTACGTGCCAAATATTGACCATGTCAGGATCTAAAAATAAATAAAAAGTCGAATGAAACTGTTATTTAACATTTAGCCGTTAAATAATATTCAATATCAAATAACCATCTGCAGGGTATTAAAATCTCGATCTCCCTTCTTGAACAAGAACGATTGAATTTTAAGCCAAACTTTGATGTATTCCGGCCTTTGACAGTGTTTTGTATTAAAGGGATAAATCTGATTTAGCAAAGGCTTTGTCATAAAGCTTCCGTCCCAAGAAAGCCCTCAAATAATACCAGCCACAATCACCCTCACCCCAAGTCGCTGCTTCCGCACTTCCTACGTACAAGACATGTAATCACTTTAACTTTTTTTCCAAAGTCTAAAGGTGAAAAATGAATATCTTTAAGGGTGCGTCATTCTTTATCGTCAGGAGGACAAATCGCCAAAACACGGAACCCCAAAAATTTTTAAAAGTAAACAGATTGGAAGTAGGGGTGGAGAAATCTGTCAGAAACTTCTATTGGGTTTTCTTTTAACAGAATTTATTTATTTATACGAGCAATAACCCATTTTATTACAATGATTATTAAAAAGTCAAAGAAACATTTGAAACATAAAAAACATTGAAATATGTAACACTGACGATAGTAAAATAATAACATAAAGTATAATTTAGGTACCAACATTTGAATGCAAAAATAATGTGTGATTTGACTAGTAAATAAAAACAATTAAAATTAAGATTAATTAATTGATTATACACACAAATACAAAATATACATATATATAATCTCAATTTCCTTGTGACGTCCAGGT